AAGCGTCAAAACCTGCCTCGAAATCGCTCATCAAATATTCTCCTGCATCGATAATCGCTTTTGTCCGCCGGAAATCGACGATCAAATTCGGCATCGACCATCGCATCTTCGCACGGTGTCCAACTGTCGCAACGTTTCGATTTTCGATTTGCAATTTGTCGAACATTAACGACAAACCACTGGGAATTAAAGCAATGTAATCGGAATGATTACAACCGGCTTCTGTCTATCGATTGTCCAAGCATAACCCTGGCAACGTGACCAGCGCAGACGATTGGGGTTGTTTCATGCACGAGGTCGACCCCTGCGGGGCAAGGTCGAGGGTGGATTTTCGGCTAAACTCCACCATCTCGAGTGGACATCGTTAATTAAACGTATCAACGTTCTGGGGGTCCTCTTAATGTTCTATCGGTTAACTCTGACAGAGTGCAATTTAGGGGTGGAAATAGAACACGTGCTCTCTAGAAAAATCCCTGAAAGCTCGGTTAAATTCTAATTGAAATATTCAATTTTAAACGTCCCATCGAACGCTCCCGATACTACAGATTATTTTAAGACAATTCTCACGAATCCGTACTCCAATGAAGAACGCGAAAATAATTCTGACTGAAACGTTTCATTTTAAATATCCTATCAAACATTTCCGATAATATAAATTATTTAGAAAATAGAGTACGGATTTCTAGCAGTGTTTGAAAACTGTTATGATATCGATTTATTAAGTTTCCAGCCATTCTCGAGCGTTGTGGAGACAATATAAATTTTAATGCGGAAAATATGATAATAGAACCGATACTAGAACCGTAATCAAAACCGATATTAGGTTAGAACCTGTATTCTAATAACAGTTATAACATTATTCCGGTTCTCATAACTGTTTCAATTAGAACCGATATATAACAGTTTGAAACAGTTATTTTCAGAACCTTTTCAATCCCAGATTTCTACTCCCAAGTGAGAATATCTTGTAAGCTAAGAAACGAGCAAAGTGAAGAAGACGAAGGGGTCGACGAGGTTCGATACACCTGAGATGGGGGTGGGTGTTTTTTAACAGAAAGGAACGGTTAATCCACTTCTCCTCGATCTATTTAAACGTCTTTGTTCGCTGCCACGTAGCGACACTTTCACCCTTCGTCGGTCACGTTTAACGTTCACCCTTCTTGTCTTCTTCGACACCCTCGATAGCAACAAACAGTCGCCTTCGCCTCTGGCGCCAATTAAAAACGGCCGACGAAAGGGCAACGGGAAACTGCGAGGCCCGTTGAAAATTTCATACGAAACATAACTGGTGGCGTGCGATATCGTGGAAGCTTTATTGTACACCGTGCAAAACCTCGACCCGGATTGTATATCACCGCGGACCTGATTTACCACGGGGATTTGCCTCGCGATTGAAGGATTCGGCTCGCGAATGATATAGGCACGCGTCGCACGGCCGTGATAAATGGCTTCATCTAGTTGACGATTTATAGCGTATCGAGCTACTCCTTTAGCACGTTCGTTATAACCAGTGATCAAGGGCTTAATCCTGGCCGCTTCATTAACGGCTACGTCTACCTCGTCGACGAACAGGTTAATCGCAATTAAACGCAAGGATAATCGGTTCCCTGCTGATTATCGCTCGACGAAAAATTGCAAATTCAACCATATCGTTTATTACCGGTCGATTAAATATAACACGGCCGTCGTGATTAACTTGTACTAATAACGTAAGGTGTACTCGGTTATTTCTACTGTAACCTTCAACGCGATAAGGGAGGCGTTTCCTACCGGAATGGAATATGCAAATGAATATTTACTCAGTTGTGTAGGATCGGTTTGCTTTGCAACAATTACGATGAGCTAACACCATTATACAGAAGTTACATCACGCACAATTCAGTAGATTGTTGAAACTGTTTCAAATTTCACAGACAAGATTTGTTCTAATCAAATTGTAATAAGATGAAGGGGGTAAGTTTGCAAACGGAGGAGGTGAATATACCGGTTATTTTTATTATAATACGAATGAAATTTCCATAATTAATATGTAGTAATCTACTAAAAGTTAATACGAACCATTCGACACTATATCCTCTTTTATATTTCGGCAAAAAGTACTGAACTACCGACGTTGCACATTAATTTTTATGTTGAAAATAATATAGAAGATTAAATAGATAAGGGATGAAACATAATTTAATATATACATCCATTCTTTATCTCGACAATAGCCGACATACATTTCATAAAATGAGAAACTCGAAGCTAGTCATTTTGACTGGTTTGGTAGTTTTAGTGTTAAAAATAGATAACTATAAAAATAAACAACATGTGTCAATGTAGTAAAAAGCATTTTATAGCAGGCTTGTTAATAATTCTGCTATCGCCCCATTAAACATGAAACAAGTATTCGCTCTTGCTTCATTTTCGGGGAAAGTGGAGAGTAGTTGACACTTTCTACAATTTCCTATCATAATGAAAATTTACAAGGAAAATTAGGGTCCTAGTTAACACGTTGAGTGCCACGGGGGTTAAAAGAAAATAATAGAAAAATATTATTTTAAATAATAATAGTAGATAGAAACTTGGAAATTTGAAATTTGAAAATTAACTATTCCTATGCTTAATAATTAGAGCTTCAATACGTCCCACAACAAATGTTCATTTTAAAGTGTTAATATGAATTAAACAATAACTGTGCAATGCGTTTGATACCGACAGAGTTAAATATTTACATAACAGACTGAAAATACACAGGGTTCAATATTTACATAACAGACTGAAAATACACAGGTTTAAATTGCAACTTTACAAAAAGCAGTCTGCACTTGCCCCACTTTACCTTAATATCAAATGACTGTTAGTTTAATGGGAAAATAGGTCAATCATTAATGGGTTGCAATTATATCTGCGAAGTCTCGTTCATATTTGATCGATCCTCGCGATTCATTGAACCGAATAAATTTGATGGAGTTCATAGGATGAAAATTAACCGGAAGTGTGTCCATTTCGAGCTGTCGGGCGCGTGCTACGCGTTCGTCACGTCGCGTTGACAATTTTTACGAGCCGAACGTGTCGGTCGTTAAAGCCGTACACAATTGCAACCGAGTGCAATCCCCCTGACCGATTGCCTTTGACAACTTTATAAACCCGTCCGAGTTCGATCGACGATTCGTAATTATTTTTGTCCCCGATAATGCACGGATACCGCGTTTATATTTCATCCCCCGGCCGATTATTTCAATTTCATCCCTTTAGACAAAGTATTAAAGCAGAAGATGTCTATAGAAAGCGAGCAACGAATATCGGGCTTCGTTCGCGATCCAATTTCGCTTCAATTTCTGTCGCGAATCGACTAGACACGACCTATCGATATTCGTTCGGGCCACTGTTTTTTATTTTGAAGTTTGCCCGATTGTTTTTTCATCTCTGCCTTTGAATATTTCAACCTTCTTTTTCTTTCTATTCTTTCTTCTTTTTTCTGCCCTTTCCCTTGAGTAATTTCCCTGCGGCGCGATTTGCATCCTGTTTGCAGGCGGGTCGGTTTATTTTTCGCGAACGAAAGGGTGGAGGAATAGGAATAAGTTAATTGCATCTATCGGAGAGAGGGTGGTCGCCGGTTCAAGAGGTTTGCATGCAAATGAAGCAGCGAGATTAAGTCCTTTGTGTTATTCGATCCTGATAACGAACGTGTTAAGGGACTCGCCCGAAACGCTATAAATTAACAACTAGATTAAACTGTCCGTCGTCGCGAAGTCTGCCGTGTCCCGTTGTCGCGCGGCTTTGCATTCCAAAGGGTTTGCCTTCGGTGGTGTCCAAACACTGCCCCCCCGAACGATTCGCGATTTATTGTTTATTCTAGGCCCTTAATCGAAACAGGGACGACGATAAAGCGTTGGTAATTACGTGTCGTTTATTTTTCAAGCTAGGTTTAGGAAAACTTTAACGTATACGGAGGAGGTGAACGTTATTACCCTGAAAGGGTTCGAAAAAATGGGTGGGAAGGTAGATAGAGGGTGTCAACGAATAGGGGAAAGAGGAATAAAATAAATTCGGTAGAGAGGAGGATATCAACGTGGCAAGACGCTCGCGTTCGCATTCGCGTCAGCGAAATCGTCGCGATTTCATGGGATTTCCGCACCGACGAAGATAACTCTCCTTCGCGGCGCAAACGCGATTCCCCGTCGAGCGGAAAAATTTTTCTTCTGTCGACTTTAACCGTGCCGAAAGGAGCGAGCAATTTTTTCCCCTCCTCGGATCGATGATAAATCGTTCTAAACCTTGCCAAAAACGTGTTCCTTTTTCCATACCGCGAGGTTACGTCAAATTCGTTTCGTTAGCCGGGGTGAAAAATGACGAAATCGTTTGCGTAATATCGTTGAGAATCGGTAACAGGAAAATCGTGTTTGTTGCACGAAACGGCTGTAACCGATTGGACACGAACAGCCGTTCCATCACGGTTGGAAAAATTCATTTCACGCCGATTCAATGAGTGAATAATGGTTTTTAACGCGATTTCAAGTATTACCGGTTTCAAATGCGTTTTCCCCCGGTGCCCGCTTAATTGCAACTGTTCGCCAAGATTACTGTCACTTCGATTAATCGAACGGCTTTCGTTTCGGCCGCGGTGCAACAGGTGTATACAGGGTATTTATACATTAAATAATCTCATACAAAAACACGTTTCCTGCTTTTAGCGCCACGGCTGCGATCGTGAGAGTTTCCCGACTTTCACGGCTCGGTTTGGTTAATTAATTCTGATAATTAGTATCAGCCTTTGGGCACCTAATGAAACTACCTTGAGAACGTTAGCATTTTAAACACGGAAGTCTGGAAAATTCTAACCAGCCATTGATTTTATATCAATCTCGTATGTTTGATTCGAATCGCACGCGATATACGGAATCGAGGTAACAAATTAAAAATAATAAGCGCCGTTTCTTTCAAACGTGTCCGATTAACATAATCCGAATGTATCGACATTCCAACGAAAGGTATTCGAAATATTCAACACTTACCGCTCTCGCGTTGAAGGTCTGATTCAAATTGGTGACGTTATTGTTGATGTGATTGTTGTTCAGGTTATTGGTTGTGCGGGTGGTATTGTTGTTGCTCGAATGATGGTTCGAGTGGTTCCCATTGTTGTGCTTGCTGTGCTTGTGCAATACCATAGCGACGAACATTTTCGCCCTTTTCGCCGACCGGTCGTCGGTGGTCAAACGATTAATCGTCCGTCCAGGGATCCGCAATTTCATTCGTCGCCGCGGTGCATAATTTGGATAAACTAAAACCCCAGAACAACATTGTAAATGTTGCGGACTCGTCCCGAGGGAACGAACGTACCCAGAGAAAAGTGGATGGATCAATTCTTCGTACAATTATCGTTGGAAAATTTTCGCTAGATCTAAAGTGAACTAGAGCGAAATTCGCTCTAGAGCCAACCCTTTTTCGGTCATTTACGGTCAGATCAGAACTGGCAAAAAAGAATTTTTCAGCTATTCTTTGAGACTTTGACCCACTAAACATAATGGCGCAAGAATTTTTTGGATAATTCTTATAGTTTGACCTGTACAAAAGTGACAGAAGGTCTAAATGTTATAGCCACCTTCTCGAGATTTTCAATCGTAGATACGAGTTGGCTAATAATTTATGGCAATCAGTTCGAATGATCCTCGTTAAAGCCGGGATCTGTGCTCGATGGAAAATTGAATCTCCAGAAAAACGATATTTCTTCGGAGGGTTGTCCTTATTCGCTACGATAAATCGTCGTTCGCGCACGCCCAGCTCGTTAATTTCCTACGCGACGAATCCAAGCTTCGTTTAATTAACGCCTAAGTTATACCTGGGCGCGAGCAGATGCGATTATCTCGCGAGATTCAACGCGGATCGGACGTCACCTGCTACCCTATCAGATGCATAATCAGCCGGATACCGTTGCATCCAGTTGGACAACTCGCGTCCGTCACGATTCGAACTCCGGTAACCTGCAATTCTCCCGATCCTCTTTTTACCGTTTCCTCGCGAATCGTACGGTGTTACACTCTCGCGTGCTCCTGGTATCATTTTGCACGTGTAAGCGTCGAGCACGTGAAGAATGCGCCGGCCGACGGCTCGTATCGATTCGTTATAAATAGTCGTGTGCACCGAACTGAGGCCTATCCCTTTCGAACCGAGAATATGTTTCAATCAACGATTGTTCGCTTGCATAACAATTCAGAAACGATAATACTATTTTGAGAATGGGTATTTGCATCGATCCTCTTAATTCTTTGGACGAAATTATTTAATACTTTAACTGCCATCCATACCTATATGGGTGACACTTGAATTTATATAGGAACCCATCACTTATATTATTATTATTATAGGAATTCTTTGACTTACTTAATCAAAAATACTCATATTAGATACTTGAAATTATGGATAAAAATGTAATTAAATATTGTAAAGATAATCGAAATTAATTTGATGCTTTTTCTTTATTTTAATTAAAGATTTATTTTTTTTTAATTATAGTAATTTCAATTATTAACACGTTGACTGCTGTGGGGGTCACCGGTGACCGGCATCGCAAATTACATGCACTTCAATAATTAAAAGAAAACGATAGAAAAATATTATTTTCTGTAGTATTGTTATTATACTAATAATGTAAAGTATCAAATTAAAAGCTTGTCATTTGAAATTTGAAAATTAATTATTCCTATTCTTAATAATTAGAGCTTTAACTCGTAACAAATGCCCATTTTCACTGCGGCAGTCAACGTGTTAATATAATTGTTATTGTTGTAAAATAGTGATTAAAACAGAATAATGCCAAATAATTAATTACTAATTAATCACGAATTAATTTCTACATTTAATTCTCCTCCTCCTAGGAGTAGACCACAGTAACAATTTGAAATTTTTAACTTAGTGCCCTGGATACTGTGTACGAGTTCGTAAACCGCGAAAAAGTGCACGCATTAATCCCTAAATAAATTTATGAAATTTCTTCAAGACATTTGGGTGTACTCGTATAGATAAGATTTGTGAAGACAAACAACGGGTTCAGCGTGCCAGTCAAAGTGTGTTAAAGAATTCAGAATTCTCCTTTTATTACCGTAATAATTTCATCTCGTACGTCTGGAGAGAGTACGAAACGATCGTCATAGCATTTGACTGGCGATTACGAGCTTAGCAAACACCTGGCGTTCAGGATCATTTATTAGCACGTTGCAGGTTCACCGACCTCTCGTTGCTTCGCGCAGAGTATCGCGATAACGGTTCAATTTTCCTTTTATCGCCAGTTCTAGATCTATTCGATAATGGTCCATTCGCGAATCGACCACGTCCGCGGCCATCGACGGAATTCCGCAAGACAATCGTCTCGTAACAGGTAGCGCTAAGGTGAATTGTGATAATTGGAGCTACGTCACGGTAGCTCGGGATCGGACGCGACCCAATTTGATTACAAGGCAATGTACTAGCCGCAATTATTACCTCCAGGCTAACCACGTTAGGTCACCAGACAGGACTGCAACCTGCTGCATCTACGATATCCATCGAATGGCGATCGCCTCGCCGACTCGCAATAACTATTCCAATTAACAGTAAACGCTGTGTTATTTCCGAGAATATGTAATGGCATTAGCTAATTGCAGTTAAACGGTGTTAATTACCGATTTCAATCAGTTTGTTATTCATTTTCCATCGAATTTATTGAACGTGCTGACACTTACATTGTACCTGTTCTTTTTTTATCCCGATTTCAGAGAACGTTGTCGACATAATTATCGAACCATCAAAAACAACGGCATTAAGCAGAGATGCTGGTCGTTTTACGAGCTCTTTACAAAGCCGAGGGCCAAGGAACAGGTTCGTACGATCGTTTCGTGAGGCAAAAATCCTGCCCGTCGTAAGTTAATTTCGAGTCCCGAATCCCGAAAGCATCGATTTCCCTGCAAATCTTGCCTTTTTACGATATCGCGTAAATTCTCCCGAAACGCATTCGCGGTTGCAAACAATGCGATAAAGGAATTTTTTATACAAGGAAACGAGGAAACCTTTTATTTTATTTTCCTATCAACAGAATTGCTGCCTCGAAATCGGGAACTGAATTTACCTTTTAACCATCCGAATTCTTTTACCCCGAATCCTCGAATCTAATGGCAAAGAAGCTGCTCTCTGTTACTCTCCACGGAAGTGGAATTCGAGTGAAGTTGATTTCAATTGGCGAAGCCGTGCACAAAAGTCTCCAAGGGGAAACAGGATACGCTATTCTCTAAAATAAACTCGAGCAAGCTGGCTGGCAGCCGCAAGGACGATAGCAGAAAAGCTACCCACGGTAAATATTCCTGCACCGAGACTTTTCCATCCCTTTTCCCGTCTATCCTGCGTTGTCTTCTCTTTCTCCTGCTTTCAATCCGTACTTTAAGCCACGCGGATTCACGCAAAATGGTCCACCAGGAGAAGCACTCTTGAATGCATGTCACTTTGCGGATCACGAGATATGTTATTTGCTGGAGAAAGAGGAATCTCGGCTTCATTTTCAGTAACTTGGGATTTTGAATCTTCTCCTACAAACTTCTACGAATTAGACTTTTCATTGTCAATTTTGATTAATCAAGAACGCGTTAACCCTTTGCCTTATTATTTTCTCAGCATTTCCGACTGTCAAAGCTACTCACTGCTGTAAAATTGAGGCAAATCAAGGAAATTGAAATAAATTTGCATACAGTGGGACACAAAAATATTCGGACACCGTTTAAAACAGAATATCTCATTTAAAATTGGACCAAATGAATGAAGGTTTTTTGGAAAGCTTTGTGTTTTTGTTGTTTTAAAAAATTACAATTTGTTGAAATTGTAAAGGGTAACTTTTTAACTTTTTATGTGAGCTTATAATGAAAATTTAAACTATGTCTTTCGTAGATTCAAATAAATTATGTGTATGCTGAAATTTTAATCGAGATCGGTGAACGTATTTAAAAGTTATAAGTAATTAAAATTTCCAAAAGTCACGTTATTAGATAAAAGGTCGAGATCACCGGAAATTTTAATTAGTTGTAACTTCTAAGTGCATTGGCCGATCTCGATGAAATTTTCAGCATACGCATAAGAAACTTAAATTTACAAATGCCATATTTTAAATTTTCATTACAGGCAAAAAATTGCCTCTTTTTTCGCGATTTCGACAAATTGTAATTTTTTAAAACAACACAAGCACATCTCTTGCTAAATTAATTTGTATAGCTTCTCGAAAAACCTTAAGTCATTTGGCCCTATTCTGTTTTAAACGATGTCCGAATACTTTCTTGAGCTACTGTATATTGTATTTAAAGATTGCCGGCTGTGCAAATTCTAATTGAAACTGTACTTCAAATTGAATAATAATACAGGTACGGTTCAGTTTTGTCACTTGTTGAGGTGTTATGTGACTCGTATAGAGTAGAACGTGTGTGAATAATTATATTCAAAGAAACGGTAGAAGAACTATGTACAAGGATGGTCTGTAATGCCTTCAAGACGGACGCAGAAAACGCGGCGATATGTGGAATATTTGCAAACGTCCCCAAACCCTAATTAATCAACGTGCTACAAAAGTGCCAGGAAAAGGAATCGGCTATTTCCCAATATCTTTAGGATGCGGAGTTTTCCATGACACACAACAATGCTTCCTTTAACAGAACCGTAAGGTGCGTCACGAGTGTGACTCGTCATTACATAACAAAGGGTTAACGAACTTAAGATTAAAAACAGGTATCTCCCAAAAATATAGAAGATGGTCACCGTTTCGAGGGAAATTCCAGCAGCCGTTGAATGGACCATTTGTGAAATATTTTCTTCCCGCCAGAGGCGACGAGGAAAAAGCAGACAAGAGTAGAGTAGCAGAGAGCAGAGGAGAGCGATGAGAGAAGGGAGCAAAGAAGAACAGAAGGCAGCGGCAAACAAAAACTTAAAGTCCTCGTCGACGGCGCATTCTCCTGATGCACACCGGGGGTCATATTCCACCTGCTCTCGGAACCGTGCATCCAGTGTTACGTGTCCATTTACATAAGCCAACTTCTGTGTGCCGTGCAGACGTACGTGTATGCGACATGTCCACGTCCGACACGGATGAGCCTCGTCTATCTACGCAGCCATCGTTACATATACGGTGTCCTACGATGGTCGAGCTGGTCGGCAAGCGGAAAAAACCGCGAACAGAAGAAGGGAAAACGAGAGTCGACGGTTTGCGATTCATCGTGGGGCCAAGGCAATAACTCGACGCGGTGTTGAGCAACCTTGCCCGACGCTTTCGGA